AACTTACTTCACCTTTAATTTTGAACGATACAGTCAAAAATTTATTTTTGCTGCAGATAAGATATTACTTCCCTGAAAAGTTAGTATAATGGTTTCTCCAATGAATAGCGCTCCCAAAACAGACGTAAGGAATCAATTGCAGAGTGATTTCCAAAAGTGGGTAATGTATACACAATAGTGTGTAGTAGGGGTAAGTCGCAATCTGGAAGTATGCCATTAGGACAATTCGGGCTGCGAAAGGTTCCTCCTACTTGTAAATTATCCTGCGATTCCAGAGATCCGTCAATAAGAAAATTCCAACCCGTTTATTTATCTGCTTTGCTCAAGGACTTTGAGACAAAAAAGTCGTCTGTTCGCCAATGCTGACCGTGGAAAACGTTTATTGGTCGATCACAGTTATAAATGCAAAGCAAAAACAAATTTGCAGAGCGATGGATTGACTGAATTACCAATCTGAAAGGGGAACCAATATAAAAAGTATTTCAGTATGCAGGGTGAAGATTAACGAGAAAACGTCAATGGCTACGAAGTGAATTTATTCATTCCACACAAATAACAAAAGTACTCGCCAGGCCGATAGATTGGCTTGCAGAGGGACCAGCCGGTGTTTGAAAGCAGAAGTCAGGGATCAAATTGATGTCCTATTACGCCTGAACTAACAGCGGAGATGTGATGGAGATGGTAAGTGTAACTCAGCAATGAAAAAAACGAGAAGAAATCATACAAAAATATGAAAATAAGGGCCCAATCCAGTAGAGGGAAAGCGAAATAGCATGGATTTATGGGTGGGGTTTGGTGTTGAGCGGGGCCAATACTGCGTCTCATCCCGACATTTTTGTGTGCAGTACCCTCCCTCCATACTTGAGGAAGCCTAATTTCGACCAAAAATTCTAGAACTTGCCTGTAAGGCATGCCCCAGGATCAAACAGGTGTGGTTTTTGCACACGAATGTGAATGTATTGGTGAGAAGTGGAGCCGGCAATGAAGAAAAAAGGAAAAGAATCCGTCGAAAACGCTCAAGTTAAAGGCAAATCCCGGGATTAGCCCCACTAGTAAGAAGGATACCGCGAGGAAAATTGTGGGGATCCATATCTTCATAAATCGAACCAGCTCCAAATTGCGCGATTAGGGCGCCAATCCATTACGAACCTGCCGACCTTTGACCCTCGCTGCAACGCTCTCCACCCACCGGGAGTGATATAGAGATCAGCGTGTTTCCTCCAACGGCGTCTATCTCACGTTGGCTGTGTTTGATCGCCGCACCTATTCTCCACGTTCCGTACCACATCCGGCCGGAGCTGCAAGCGTAAGGCCTAGTTTAGCTGTTTTTGTTGCTATAGTGTTTCCGAAAAATTTCTGCGTTGCTCTTCCTTTCCACATTCAGTTCCCGCCGCAGCTCAGAAATCACTACAAGCGCCCTTACACGCAAGTTTCGTCCCGGGACCTTCCCTTCAAGGGCTTGCTCATGTTTTGAAATCCAGTATGCGAAACGGAGGCAAAATTTAAGGCGCTGGAAGCCGTCTTCTTCTTCTATTAAGGGCTCTACGCGCTCACGACGGAATTCCAGTGTTCCTCCCGTTGATGCATTACCAGCTACGGATGAATACATATGCGTTTAGTTGTTTTTCTCACTTGGAAAACCTATCATAAC